AAACTTGGGAGAAGTGTGCTAATATGAGAAAATCTATAATTTTAGAAATTTTTCATATTACGTACACGTATATATATATTTATTTAGGTCGGTTGTCAATAAATAAAATTATAAAAAAAATTGACAACTAGACACCTAAATAAAACCCGAGTTGGTCGGTAAAGCCAATGGTAATGGTATTTACATGAAACAAATGGAATAATAATCCATAATAGTAAACCAACTCCTAGCGACCAACTTGGGAAAAATAATTTTGGAGGATTTTGCACGTTGGATGCAAGTGAAAAAAGTTTTACATATCATTAGAAAGAATTGTATTTTAAAGATTAAATAATGTAAGGTTACAATTATACCTTGTAATTTTTTTACGGAGACAATCAATAATGTAATTACTTATACTTATTAAATGCAATTTAGTCCTTGTTCATTGTTTTTATATTCCTATATATTCTTTACATTCATTTCTCGTATTTTGCGAGTTACCGACTTTATATTGATTGTTATGCTTGATTAATAATAAGATGGAACAATAATCATGATTAAAACTTAAAATGGAAATTTTAGGCCGCCTATTATAAAAAGGAAAATTTTTAAATTACCAACCAATTATGTATTCATTTTTAAAATAACCACCCGTTTAATTTTTTATTTTATTTTACCACCTCTTAAATTAAAAAAACTACTCAAATTACCACCCATTGCAAAATTTTGGTGGATTTCTGCATAAGGACCTACGTACCCAATGGCTAGTAACGGCTATGTCTAAGCATTACAATCAACCATGTCCTCACTCCACATCCCCTTTAAACCAGTTTATTAAGTACAAGACAACCTAAAACTAAAAGAAAACAAGTAAAAAAAACCAAGAGCTTGTTATCTGAATTGCCACTACTACTGATTATCTTCTTCTAGTTACCACTAAGAGTCTTAGGTGGGGCCAACATAAGAGAAATCCACCGGAATTTTAAAATGGGTGGTAAGCTGAGTAGTTTTTAAATTTAAGGGGTGGTAAAATAAAAATAAAAATTTAACGGGTGGTTATTTTGAAAATGGATATATGTTTGGGTGGTAATTTAAAAATTAACCTTATAAAAATAAAAGCTAATGTAACATTTTAATATATTGATTTATATATTGCAAGGATAAATTTATTTAATTATGATATTTAAAATATCACAATTGTAAATAGAAAGTCAGATATTATCACCAATAATCTTTCATGTAATACAATTACAAAAGAAGTTTATACGTACTCCTTTAATTTTATGTTACTCTGTTAATTTTATGTTACACCATGGTCTCATTCCTACACAAAATTAAGATTTTTCAACCAAATAGATATACTCTTTAAGTAAGTACACTATTTTAATTAGATAAATTTCTAGAATGTTCAAGTGGTTTTAATTAATAAATAAAAATTATATTATTCAACCAAACCAACATTTTACTAAGACACATTACAAATCTTCTTCAAGTAATTAGCACTCCGTACGTTGTTTATTTTCAAGATTAAGAACTTTATTCTTTCTCTAACATGGCATGCACAAATTTACTTTTCAAAAAAAAAAAAAAAAAAAAAAAAAGGCAACTAACGTTCAGTTATTCCATGTATGTTAGTACTCTTATCACACTTAATTAAACACAATTTAATAAGTCACAAAAATATAAATAAAAAAATTATGATAGCTTACACATTCTCATCCACACAAGAAAAAACCAAAAAAAAAGGGAAAAAAAAAAGAGGTTATGATAAGCATCGAATAATGCAAACATAGTCTATCAAATTAACAAAAAAGGGAAAATAACCAATATTCTTGCTATATATACAACACTTTCAGCTACTTATTCATAACAACAAAATACCAAATAATGAAAACCAAGATAAACCCTCAAGCCAAAGAATACCTCTCAACTTCACAATATCTAAATTACACGATTATTGAAAAATTACCCCAAAAAAAATAGCTCTCACTTTCTTTCAATAACCAAAAATCAATTTCGGCTTACTTTAAAACACCATTCCATAAAACCGACTAATCAACACTCAGCAACAAAGTTAGTGGTAAAATAGGTGTATTGTCAATATAAACCATTTCTTATATGTTGACAATTAAACACCTAAATAACACCCGAGCAAAGCACTCGAGTGAATGGCTCGGTGTTTATATAAAGGAAATGGAGTCGTCTTCCACCAAACGAATCTTACTCCTTGCAAAAATCAATCGAGAAAAAAATTATAATTTTTATCAAATATTTTATAATACCAAATAATTTTATGTAATACATAAATATATATTTTATCTACATCCGGTTTAATTGTTTTATAGATTTGTACAATTGATTGTTTTGTTATATATCTCATAATGAATTCCTTTATAATTGGTTATAATATTGAATATTTTGCTATAATACTATACTCAATTATAGCGTATACTTGCAAGTTAGGCAAGTTTTGGAGTATGTTGACTTAGATAAGTAGGTTGTCATTGTTTAGGAAGGGCAGTGATTAATCTTTCACCTAATGCCAAAAATATCCTATAAACTATCCAAAGCCCCACCAACTTATGGGCTTATCTTTAGCACGAGGCCCTCGAGAAATTATTTTAACAACAGTGTATCCAAGGACATGAGTCAAGTAAATGATGCTAAAGTACAAAAAAAAAACAATACTTTACCCATTATTATGAAATTTAACTAAAATACAAAAAAAAAAAATGTCACAAACTGTATTGTTACAAACTTAGTACAAACTATGTTGTTACAAACTTAGTTACAAATTGTAGCCATGTGAATCCAAATAAAGAAAAGCACCTTTAATAGTTGAGAAGCTACGATGTATTGTTGCCTAATTTGATACTCTCTAAAAAGATGTCAAATATTGAGTATGGTGCTCCCCATGCCTCATTCAAATGTACCAAAATCATTGTGTTATCCTTCATTGATACCGCCTTAAGAAGATTTCTTAGCTCAGAGTACTCATCAAATACGTTAAAATATCATAAAAAATGCGTTATTAATAAAATACATAATATATAACAACAATTAATAGATGCAATTGAACAATGATCCTAACAATAATACATTGTACATGTGTGTATTCATTTTATTTGATTGTTTTCCTATATATCTCATATCGATATATCTACCTCTTTCTTAAACAAATGTATATAAATTGGCTAATATTAATGTACGGAGCATAAGTGTACATAAATTCGCTAATTTTGATGTACGGAGCATAATTGTACAACATCGGAAATGAAATTGTACATATTGAGAATAACATCACTACTTATAATATTCTAACAAAATTTTTGGAATAATTGGTATTATTCATTTGTGTCGCAATTGGGTTTCTAAGTCCAAGTCTAATAGTTTGGGCCTAATATGTTAGGCTTATCACATTGGATCAAATATTAGTTATACCATAAAAATTCAACTCCTACAATAAAAATTTATAGTGAACATCAAAATATTTTGATGATTAGTTTCCAATTTACATTAATATGCAAAAATTTAAAGTCACCTCGTATAGCCTAATCAAGTTTAGATAATCTAACAAAACATTACCCACAAATAATACAAGACTCGTGACCAATCAAAGCACATCACAATAAGCAATCGAAATATGGCGAACTACATTAAAGGATAAACGACACTTAATTACGCACCAATCACCAAGACGAAATCACCAAATTGGGGGACGCGCGCGGGCCAACAACTAGTATATATAAAAGGAATAAGAAATAATAAGGAAAGGAAAGTTGCTCGACCTCTCAGCAAAGCACATCCGTTTCCCTTCGCCCAGCTGAGGGCGAGGCCATCAATGGCAAGAAATTGTTCTTTGAAAATATAGTTGCATTTTGCCAAATAGTTCACGGGGTCTTGACCCGATTTCTTTTTGGCAGAGGGTTCGAACATGAACCGCTCAACAAATTTGAAACGCTGCCGATTTAAAAGGTCAGGTTCGTCGCCACTACTTGTGGGATTTCAAGCTCATTAAGGGTCCAATTTTTTTCTAGTGTCAATCCAGCTTTCTGGTGGTTTTAGCAACAGTTTTACTAATGGAAAGGATGCGAGAAATTGAAGAAAATAAGAGTATGAAACAAAAAATATCTTCGGAAAATGCCGAACAAGTTAGATATGTAATTTGCAGGGACAAAAAAAGGCGTAAAGATCTTCTAACTATGAAGAAAAGATGAACGGTTTTAGGAGGTAAAACTGTAAAAATCTCTCAGAAAGGGAAAAGAAAAGAGAAGTGAAAAGGGCAACGAACCTATAACTTTCCAAATGTCGAAAGACGTGAACCGCACAATCTTGGAAAGAAAAATAAGACAGAAGACGAGAATTGAATTTTGGTATGAAGGAAAGTAGAAAAAGGTTTAGGGCAATGAAAAATAAGAGAGAAAAGAGAATTGGGGGTTGTTTGGTTGACAAGGGAAATAATATTCCATAGGAATTGACAAATTATGGGAACTAACTTCCCATATTAGAAATCTCATAAATTATTGAAAGTTGTTTGTTATTCACGGAGGAATTTGCAAATCACGGGAATTTCAAGTTACAGGATGACACTTGGTAATTTAATTTCCATGTTTTATGGAAATTGAAAACTCCCATAAATTTTAAATTCCCAAATTTTTATGTTTTGTGGTCAACCAAACAAAACCCCGATATTTAAATTCCCATGATTTTCTATTTCCCTCATTTTTTTTGTGCAACCAAACAACACCTTGGGTTTTGATGTGATGAATATGATAGGTAACAAGAGGATATTTATAGGTATTTTTTTTTTTTGAAAAAATTAACAAGAAATATCTCAACTTTGCCTCATTCACCCGAAATAATCCAATCTAAACTTAAGTATGAATTTGTTTCTAATGATCACAAATGATCGGTAACTAGTTAAGTAGGTAATTTAAAAAAAAAAGTTTAAGTAACACGTGTAACCACGTAATAATGATTGGTAAAAAATAAGTTTAAAAATTATTAACACTTACGAAGTAATTAACTATTTTAAAATTAATTAACAAAAATTTATTTTCAGTCATAAAAAATTACCAAATTAGCCCCAGCCACCTCCACCACCTTTCCTCCCCTGAGCCACACGCCACAAGCCACACACCTTCCTTGCCATCCTTCTCTCTCCCCACTCGCCCGCCTCAACCTAAACAGAAACCTTCCTCAATTGCCACCATCTAATCAGAAACCACCCACACCCGAAACCCTAACCCCCAACTAAACAGAAACCACCCTTACTCAGATTGGGTAGCGTAGACACCTAAAAATCTCTCTCCAAAACCAAATCCCATGATGAACAACCTTTCACCTCCAATATTTGTTAACTTAGTAACCTTAGCTATTTAACTTTAAGCAGCTCCATAACACTTTTGAGTTCTAACATCCCGAAAGAATTTAGGGGAAAATACTGAAAAAGAAGCAAAGTGTTCCTGCCTTATTGCTTGGATCCCAAGGAGTAAGAAAAGTAGAAACAACCATCCCAATATACATTTACACAGATATTTACATCCTTGAATGAAGGCGACTCAAGCTTGCTTCAATTGATCCATGGGGTTCATCAGTAGGAAGGTATACATCGTCGGCAAACTGCAAATCAGCATATTCATCTATAAGTTTCTAGCATATTACAAGGAATTCAGCATCAACTTCAAACAGAAGAGTTATACCTTGACTAGATTTGGATTCTGTATGCTTGATAGATTAACTGGAATGAAATGCAGATTAGGCATTCTCAGACTGACAGATGATATAACATGAAATCTGATATTTCAAAAATCGAAGGATAAATCAGAAAGAAAGTACATATATCGAAATGACATTGTTTTAATACTACACAAACTACCAGCAACCATGCACTATAATGTAAGGTAGAGACCATAACCTGTTGAGAACAGCCTTTGCCATTTGATAAAGGGTGCTCTGAACTGATGGACTATAAACACCTTCATCAGGAGGACCAAAGAAAGTATCAACTAACACTTTCCTCACATCAGAGTATCTTTCAGCGAAGTATAGTGGTTTTGATGGAACGTTATGAACATTTTCGAATGAATACCTGTATAAATTATCAGTCTTCATGAGTACCAATTGTTTTTTTTTTTTTTTTTTTTTTTTGGTGGATATAAAGGAGTAAAGAAGAGTTCCAATCAGCTATTATATCTGCTTCAGCAGCAGAATAAATTTCAACATTTCATGGGTGAAGTGAGGAATGCTGATAGAATAATGAAAGCACAACTCTTAAGGAGTTAGCAGTCCAACAATAAAATCAGAAGACCCATACAAATGCAAGAGACTCCTCTCCTAGTCATTACCTTAGATTACAAAAAGGTTGACTCAATAAGATCCTTGGCCCAAAAGGAATCTATTACTGTATTCCTACAAGGCTAGAACTTCATACATAAATAAGTAAAAGACGCTTCTGTGAGACATTTGAGCAAGTATTGTTCACTATCTCTGATCCATGATTGATATATAGTCCCTTGTAATTTGGTAGAAGATGGTCTATAAAAGAGCACTGTTCCATATCTAAACTGTGGGTTGTCACTGCCGTGACATGATGATCATGGAAGTTACTAGATTCAATAAGAATGAGCAAGATAAATACAGACTTAAATGTGTAGCAGGTAAGATACCTCCATGTAGCCGCGAGTTCTGTGGCAAGCATCCTCTCTCGTGTTTCGGGCAAAAGTGTGTACTGGTCCCTAACATATCCTTCGAAACCAGACTACTCACAAAAAAAGATGAAATTATAAGGAATACTTAACTATTTTTTTTTTTTATTCTGTAAGACAGCATAGAGTAGTAAATATTTCCATCAGATTAATTAACATTACTTTATAATGTCTAAATAGAGAATAAATAATGACTAATCACAGATGTAACAACTTAATCCTTTAGAGGTAGCAGCAAATCCACAAGTCTTTAATGAATGAAAACTACATTTCATAAGAGCATTGTTTGAGTTGAAAAGCCTATATTTCCCATGGAAATTTTACACAGAGCCTCACGTAACAGTTTTTTACAGAGCTCAAGAGGTTTCTTTCCGAAACAACTATTAGATACTCTCTCCAATCCAAAAATAAATTTCACCATTGGATTACTAGAACTAGTACATAGAATAATTAAATGAAATTGGGTAGAAAGAGAACAATGTAAGACAAAGAAAGTGGAAATGGACTGGTCATATAGCATGAGAAATAAAATTAATATTTAAATTATAAACTTTACCAATTCATACGGGATAGAGGGAATAATAAGCATTACATTTTAGCAATTCAATGGCACATTTGTGCAGCATACTATTGCAAAGCTTTCTGTTATAGACGAGGCAAGCCAAAGTTCAGTTAAAGTTTACAAACACGAGTTGATCCTCGTATATCAATGAAGATTAACGCAAGTTATGGGACATAAGCAACTTTGACTATGTTAAATGTTAGACTGCCTCACACTATTTATTTATTTATTTTTATTTTTTTAAAATAATCAGTCTTAAATTCTAAATAATAATTTTGGTCTGAAGACTCTGAACAATTTTACAGATGAATGGTTGAATTTACATTTATAGGATAGCCTTGTGAAGATTCATATCTTTTTTCTAATACAATTGTAAACATGACTTAGCAGCGTTTAGAGTATGTTCATGGACTTAATAGAAATTTGTGAAGCTATTAGGAGCTGATTTCATGTTTAAGCAAAAGTTTACATTGTGAGAGAAGCATCTAGTTAATGGTGTAAAAATTGCAGCACTTGCATTGGACACATCTGGTAGCTTAAGTGTTTTAGTGAGTTTTGGTTTCTAGTCTTGCTACATTGACCTGGTTTCTAGTCTTGCTACTAGACCTGGTTATTGGGCGGGTCGGGTCAGGGTCAGTTGCGGGTTGGGTCAAAGAGGGTCACATTTTATAGGGTCAATATTGGGTCGGGCCAATGCGGGTTGCGGGTTGCGGGTCGCGGATCAATAGCGGGTCGATAATGGGCGGGCCTACAAAATATCAATTAAAAAAATATTGGACAAAGCCATTATTAAGTATATAAGAATATAAATTTATCTATGTAGTTATTTTTACATTATCTATTTTCTTTACCAATTAAATTGGAAAAACATTTTGGCCCTATATTGACCCTGTTCAATAAGGGCCCTGTCCATTAAAGGCCCTGTTCATTAAAAGCCCTTTAAGCTTGGCCCTGACCCTGACCCTATTATCATTGGGCTACCCTACCCAATAACCACCTCTACTTGCTACATTGACCTGATTTCCTAGAGCAAGGAAATTCTACTGGAGACGTCTAATGTGTCAATGTTTATTTGTTTTACTTTTATATATTGTTTTTAAGACTTTATTGATTGTGAATTACTTAATTTTTTAAGACTTATGTTACTTTAATAACCCTATATAGATGCCGAAATTGATAATTGAGTTTTGAGTTGTTAATACTTCATGTTAGAGCTTGTCAAATGCATTTTAGCCCATATTAGTAATTCAAATTTATTTCTTTGAGTTGTTTCTAGAGACATTTCAACAATTTTCCATTTGATTCTGAAACTCACAGATTTCATATTTCCTTCTGGCATAGCAAAACCAAATCCCATTTTTTTTTACAATGTTTGATACTGAGTATTAAACAAAACACAAAATTCCCTTAGCGTTTAGGTTTCTAAGCACACCACTAACTCTGCTTGGAAAATATTTCCATCAGTTTATAGTTTCCAAATGGAGGAAAATGAGAAAACATGTTCAGCCTTTTTAGTCTATACTATCAATAAAAGATATAGAGGAACACATTTTCTTTTTGATCAAATGGAAATAAATTTTTCTAAAGTATCATATACCTTTGTGGTCTTCAAGAGTGATAATCCTTCAATGCTTGACGATAAATTTAAGGCACCAGATTTACTCAAGACAGCTTCAGCAACATGTTTTTCAGATCCAAGTTCGAAACCTTCAAGAAGATAAGTAATAGTAAATTAAATTTTAAGAACACCATTTCATTTGACTAATAGAATCATATAAGTGTTAAAATGTAAGTCCACAAAGGAAAAAAGTAGTCAAATTCAATTAAAAATAGTTGTTTTCTGAGATTCTTGTTGATAATTAGAATTAGATGTCCATGTATCATGTCAATAATTAAACATATTTGTTATCAGTCTTTCAAGGGTATATTTTTTTAAAAAATAAATGACAAAAGTAAAAGATCTTCCCTTCATTGCACCGAACTAGTCACCCTGCTTTGTCGAAGCAAATAAGAACATTTTTGACAGCTTTTTCTCAGTGAAAATTTTCTTCACTAAAGACCACCATACAAAGAGATTACCCCCGTTGTTTTCTAAGCATTTCTATTTGAACACGCCAGAAATCATTGAAGCGGATATTGTATAAGGATATACACAACTTAAAGCTAAAAGAATCAAATAAAGAAACTGGCACCAACAAGCAGAATAGATTCCGTGGTGTGACCAGGACAATAACTGAATACTGAGGGACAAGGACCACTTATAAGTGCATAACACCAAAATTATTCAAGATTAAAGACCCATTCAGCTATATAGTTTTTCAGTGAAAAACAAGAGCAGAAGTATTTAGAAATTACAACATTGAATCATTTGCCAGCAGCATCAGAAACTGAAAAAAAAAGGAAAATCATACAACACAACCAGCTGTCCAAATGGCTATAACCAGTTTTGCATAACAACATCATAAGAAACAATTAAATTACCAACCATGCTTATGTGGTCGACCGTCTATATTCACACGCTTCCATGGCTTCTCTACTATCTTTACTATGGCGGTGGTAACCTGCACAAGGGAGATAAAAAGGGTGTTGGGATGAAGGAAGGAAAAGGAAAACACTCTTAGACATTATATAGTCGTTATCAAGCAAGAAACCCATTCCTTAAACTAAATGTTAGAAACTAAAAATGAGCCATGACGAATGCTACTGAAAATATAGGATCGAAACCAGATACTTAAGGTGCGTTTGATACCATTGAAGGAAAGCGGAATGGATTTGAATAAGAGGTAACTTGGAAGATCAATAGCCTCAAGTTACGGAAATTATTAACCATACCACTGAAAACAAAAAAACCTTAGCATATACTTGTATACTTTACCAAACCTACTCTAATTTGAATGACAAGGAAAACCGCTAGCAAGGTCGGATGGTCAATTATTTGGACAGAGACGAAGTTTAAAGAGCTTGGAACAGATTTCCAAAAAAGTTCCAGAACAAAATACAACAGCAGGCATACCTCAGCACGCTTGTAAAAAGGTCAACAACTTCAAACATTGACATATAGTATCATTTACTCCAAAATATACTTGACAAATTTCCAATATTTGCAGTTCCTTAATTATTTTACATTTACTCACAATTATGATCATAAATAACCCAAGATAAACCAACAATCCCCTAAAATTTCAATGTATTTGCTGATAAACTTTTCATGAACGGAAGACTTGAACACTGGCAGCTACAGACAAATCTCATCCTTGTTAATGCTATCACATCACTCAAATTCTACCTTCTCTTTCTAACTACTCTACTAAAGAGCATAGAACTTAATTTACATTATTTAGATGTTTTAAAAAAAAAAAATTTTATCACCCCTCAAAACACTCTATTTTGACTTAACCGCCCATTTTCTTGTTTATTGTATTTAAAACGCAAAATGTTATATCTCACCACCTCTTAACAAGAGTTCCATTTTTAAAAAATGAAAACATTGATTTTCATGCCAAAACTTTGCCTCGTTTTACGTGCTACAAATTACCAAAGAATTTTCGATATTTTATTTGGGTGTTGACCTCAAATAGGAACCAAAAAGTTAGAATGACTCCCAAAACCTTAATAGAGCAAGTTTTGGCATAAAAATCGATAATTGTTAGCTAAGAGGTGGTGCAACCTTTTTTTTTTTTTTTTTTTTTGTGTGGTTAAATAAAATAAACAAAAAAGGGGGGATAATATCAAAATAGGGTGTTTTGAAGGGTGATACAATTAATCCTAAAAAAAAGGCACATGAAAGTTACCACAGTTTAGCGGTTTAGCCAATAGATCTTGGCATAACAGTGTAATTCTTTTGCTTAAAACGACAAGATAAACAACTCAATAGCAACCAATCCCTTGAAGCATTATGCAGGCTGATTCAGGGGATTGAAAATTACATAATTGCAGTTCCCAAGTAGCAAAATAGAAGAAACGTATGAGCGCTATTAAAATTTTTATATTGTATGATTGAAATTTCATCACCTTGTGTCATGAGCACGCTTTTCACATAGAATGTTGGAATTCGAAAGACTTAGCTGTGCAAGGGAATATAAATATTCTACCTGCTTATAATATGATGTGAAGTGCTTAGCAAGAAGAATAGCGAAATCTTCCGCAGTAATTTGCTCTTTGCTCTCCTTTGCTTTTGCGTAAACCTGTTTCACACCCCCACCACATGTACATTGTATCAAACATAAGTGGAATATGTTAAGTCAATTGCGGTAACTAAAAGAAAACACCCTACTATTAAAGGCATAATGCCAACATCTAATTAATATCCCTCCCACCCCACCCACAACCACCATAAATGAAAATTTTGAACTTGGGAGGGCCCTCATATATACTTGGCTTATTATTAGTTGCAACATTTCAATTATTAAACTCACACTATCCTTTGATTATCTTTGATGATTTATACTTATAAAAAAAAAAACTAGATAATGAATCAAAACCTTAATCCCATAAGTGAGTTCGGCTACATAAACCAAAAGTATACTTTCTACTTAGATTCATCCAAATGTATACTTTTATAATATCAACTTTTTTTTTTATATGCAATTTTTACATATTCGTAAATACTAATGACTGAGGTTACACACTGACGAGCATGAAAATAGAATCGTTAGAACAAAAAATAAACGGAGGAAGTATCATATATTTGAAGTTGTGTTATTTATCACCTTATTTCAGATATAATAAGTTCCGTAAGTTGAGATTAGTTCTACCTAATTACTAACCTTGCGTTTTCAAAATATCCAAATCAACTAACTCGAATTAAAGATATTCAACCACTCAAAAAATCAACTGGTCTTAGAAGTCACCAAACAAATTCAATATACAACCTATCTAACTCGTGCCAACTGTGCTCCTTCTCGTCTATGAAGCGTACAGGCAACCATGTAGCGCATAGCTTAGCTAAGTTATGTAGTACTATTTCTGATTTTAGAGTGTGGTTAGAGGAATACCCTTGTGATGTTACTCAATTTGTTTTGGCAGATTTGAGCCACCTTGATGCTTAATAATATTTGAGAGCATTTCCCGTCAAAAAAAAAAAAAAAAAAGTCGACATAAATTCAATGTACAACCAATCCGTATATTACTTGTTATATTATCAGATTCAATATATACGCATCGGAATCTTTAAGATCCCGAAATAGACAAACAGAGGAAACAATAACATGGAAGTTCTATCATCAGGCAGAATTCAATACACAACCAATCTAACTCGACAAAAATTCAACACACAATCAATCAAACGCGACATAAAAGTAGCAGCAGAACACCGATAATGATAACCATAAGAAAAAGACACGAGAAAACGAAGATGGAACGGAAAAAGAAAATCGAAAGATTAACATACAACACGAGAAAACGAAGATGGAACGGAAAAAGGAAATCGAAAGATTAACATACAGTGTTCTTCATAGTATCAGTAGCAACAATATCAGAATTATCATCATGGGTGTAAGAGCGATTGCAATCAGAAAGAAGGCTGATACCAACACTCCATTCAACAAAATGACAAAACCCGGTTGAATCCTTCCAAACTCTTCCAACTCTTACCCTTTGTTTTCCATGTCTTTGCTCGAATTTCAATCCATCAATAATTTTTGCTTTCTCCGCCATTGATTTGATTTGATTGAGTTCTTTTGCTAATCAACTGTGATTTGAGTATAATTTATTTATCTTTAAAAAGAAATTGTGGAAAGTTGAGAGAAAGAAATCGGTAATAAAAAGAGGGTGGTTTGATGTCAACTTGTCATGTGATTCTGTGGGCTGTAGAGCACAGGTGGCAATCGTTGGAGGCTAGTAAGTACTCCTTACTATTTACAAATAGGTAATTAAATAAACATATAATAAATAATTAAGTGCTAAAGTCTACATCAAGTCATAAAGAAAAGTTGATTAAATACTTCCGTCATTCCGTGTGTCTTTTTTTGACAACACTTTCCGTGTGTCAAGTTGTCAATGTCTTGGTGGATACTAAAACAAATAGGTACTCGGAGTAATTCTTGGTCTCTATCTAATTGTATCTATTGAACTCTACCCAGTAACCCTTTTGGCGATATTTGTTTGATACCCCCTTCGTTTTTAAATACTTGCTTCATTTTCTTGGATATATATGCCGATGCTAATATTTGATCATTAATATTTTTAATTATCAATAAGTCTAAATTCTAACAATTGAAAATTAATAATCTATTCATTGAGATGATTCCAATAAATACCCACAAGACTTTATTTTTTCTTATGTATAAATCACAAATATAAGTCAAAGTATGACAAATGAATAGTGCAAAAAATAGAAATGGAGCAAGTATTTAAAAACGGAGGGAGTATTATTTTTAGTGCCGTTGGTATACCAACAATAAAGATAACTCTGATCGAATCTCAGTCCTTACAATTTTTTTGTCCGTTATATTCGAGTCAGACACTTTAAAAGTAAGGAAGAAGGGTAAGAGATCCCTACCCTTAAAGTATCTCTTGTGGGGATTTAACTCCCAAACTCAAGGTTCGAATGTGACAATCTTATCACTAGTCTAAGATTAACTTGGTGGGGATAATAAAGGAAGTTGGTTTGATGTCAACTTGTCATGTGATTATGTGGGCTTTAGAGAATAGATGGCAATTGTAGAGGGCTAGACTGTTGGCATAAAAATGGCTTAATAATTTTTTTTTATTTATTTTTTTTTGGAAATAGGGAATAACAAACAAATAATCATAGCTAATTACTAGACATCATATAACTAATATATAAAGTTAAACTTTTAGTCAGATTACGACATTGCGACACTTGGCGTTGCAACTTTTCGCCAAATGTCGCGCCACGTTGGACAGATTTAAATAGACTTCATATGATAAAAAAAAGTTAGTTTAGAATTCTATTTGTTTAGAATTTTAGGATAAATTGTTAGTTTAGAGTTTTATTATCAATAAGGTACCAATATTTCAGATGTACAAATTGACATATAATTTTATTCAAAAAAAATTATCAGATTATAAATCTAAAAAATTATCATATAAATTTATTTTTTTTAACATAATATTTTTGGTGTGAAGGAAGTAGTTCAACGCGTAAACACATCCATTTATAGTATGTATACTAGTTGGTTAAAATTATTTACTTCACAATCTAATAGAATAGATACCTGTCAATTAGAGTTGAGTCCTGAAACATCTCGAATGTCACTTCAGGTTAAGAGTCAAGAAATGTTCAACCCTTGCCCAAAGTTTTGGGTTCGGGTCAACTTATGGGATTTGAACATTTATTTTATTTAATTTATTTTTTGCTAATTTTTTTATTTATTTAATTTATCAAATTGAACATTTCCACCAACATTATTCTTAGTCATTACATGCTTTGTAGATAGCAAATCGTCTGAAAAGTACATCAATTTCTCACTAATAAAGACTTGCGTGGACCTGGTCTACAATAATAGTATTGGACAATAGTGACCCTTATTTTTAACATAGTAACCTTTATTAAAACTTGTATAACGTTTAATATTATTGTGAACTTGAATACAACGTTATGACCCTAGTTTTAACATAGTAACCTTTATTTTTCATATTGACCAGTATATAAAATATTTCATTAAAAGAAATAACCTCTTATAGCCTGTATATTACAAAAATGGCTTTTATTTCAACATAGTGACCTTATTTTTATTATAGTGACTTTTTTTTTAAATTAATAAAACAATCATAGTTTCTCTAATATTAGCGGTACACAATAAATTAGTGTGAACCAGGTTCATTTAAGAATTTGTGATTGTATTAAATGATATATTTTTAAAATGTGACATATAATTAAAATTTTATCTTAACATTCAATAAACATCCCGAACATTGCACGGGGCACAAAACAAGTTATTAATAAAAAACAGATTACGTAAATAATAAAGTCCACAAGTCCACATCATGTCATAAATACTTATAACACAAATACTTAATAACATCCGATTTATACTAAATTAGTGTAAATCGGGTTGGGCAATAGAAACAATTTTCAACACAAACATTAACTTCAAAAAATTTCTCTCTCTTCCTGATTTATTCAGCAACCTCTTTCTCTTTCTTCTTTCTTTCTCAACTGCCAATTGTCTCTATGAGAACTTCAATTTTCTCTCTCTTACCTCAATTCTAAGCAATGGAGTCACCGCTGGAATTAGCCGCACCACCGCCACCACCACCGGAATTAGCCACACTATGTTGGGCGACCATAGTGAAGCAAACACCGGAACCAACCCCGACACAACAACCTCAAAACACCCACACAATTTTTCAAAACCTGCAAATCAAACAAAGGCATAGCAGTTGCCATTGTTGATGTTAATTCTATCATCCTAGGAGGAGAGAGACTCCCTTCTTTGGCTGACAAATTTGTTTATGTTTATGTTTCTGATGAAGTTGATCTAAATGCATGTACATTTTATTTTATATTTAATTTGTTTTGTTATGTGATGTTGATCTTTATTATTTTGATTTGTTTGAGTGATTATACTATTTTTTCATGACTATTATTGTAGGGAATATTTCAAGCATTATCCTAAACTTGAACCCCACTATGATCATACACTTAAGCATGGTGGCATCCAAAGGGAAGGAAGCTAGAGCAAAAGGGTCGCCAAAAAGTTTTAGGAACTTGTAAACCATTCACAAGGTGAAGGATACACCCCTTAACGATCCAGGATGGAGATAGTTAACTCCAATAGGTCTGGAACCATGATTGGAAGTTCGGGATGAAGGTACAAATCCAACTTAAAAGAGATTGAATTTTCCCTAAAAATAGGCCTCTAATTTATTCTACTCGTATTCATGTGCGCTTTCTGACTAACATACAATCATTAGATTTACCCTAAACCTGTTTAATCTATGTTGGTTGAATATTAATGCACAAATAAAACTATTATTGGCGATCACTTGAATTATAATAAAATTACCCTAAACAATATTATTAATTATCTTATTAAGCGTGATTACAAGTACAAATTTTCTTTAAATGCATAAAAGGTGTAATCAAGCAAAAACAATAAATAATCATCAAGCAACATAATCATAATCATAACAACAATTATAAAAATAATCATAACAATTATAAAAGTAATCATAATTATAATCAATAATCATGTTAAAGCATAATAGCAAGATCCTAGGCATGATACTAACAAGATTTATAACAAACCCTAGCATGTCACTAAACATCAAAGATCAAATATATAGCTTTAACATGATACTAACATGAATATTAGGAAAGAAAATCAAAGGCATCACAGAAATTATAATTGACATTATATTCTTTACCTTAAGCATGATACTAGGAACTTATTGTTGTCATGCTAAACATCAAATTAAGACAAGCATCCCAACATGATACTAGGAATCAAAATAACAACCTAAACATGATTTCTACATCATAATATCAATAAAACAATTAAATTACTTACTTGGAGCCTCGTATCTCTTTCGAATAACAAAATACACACGTTAGTAACTTCAAGGAAAATAAAAAATCAAAGCATTAAATTAAATAATTGAAATAGAGAATTTAAGGACCAAATCCTCATAAATCAAACCTTTCACGTCTAGGGCAAAGACAATTTCGAACTTGGCTAGGTGTGTCTAGGTCTTGTGAATGCGGAATTTTGTTTTTGAAAAGGTTAGTTTAGAAAAGAGAGAGAGAGAGTATCAAGATTTCCTTGATGAGAGTTGGTGATTGAAAACGGAGATTTTAGGAGGCTATTTATAAAGAAAATCAGTCGGATATGATAAAAAAAGAATTAGGGTTTCGAAAAGTATAAAACACGACGCTGTCGCCAAACACGCCTCTGTCGCCAAACACGCCTCTGTCGCCAAACGACAGGCGTGTCGCCAGGCGCCAGACGTGTCGCCGCGACGCCAAGTCTATCGTCAGGCGACAGACTGTAGTTGCGGCGCTGCAATCAGTTTTTCCACGCGTTTTCTTATTTTGATAAAATTTAAGCGTACGAGGGGGCAAAACTGTAATTTCCTTCAAATTACTTCTTTTATCCTAAATAAAACTCTTAAAACTCAATTTATCAATGCTAATCAAATTAGGATTCAAAAGAACCTTCTAGAAGATTCTAGAAGACTATAATCAATCCTAATTGCATTAGGAATGATAAATCATAATAGGCCCTCCTTTAAATCATTGGGCCGCATATAAAAATCAAACCGGGCCCAGTTTAGTAATTTGGCCATAACTTCCTCATTATTCATCGGAATTGGGCTTATAATATATCGTTGGAAAACTCTTTTCGAACCCGACCCAACTACACTATTATATGACCCTTGCCATGGACCAAAATAAACTGGGTCGGCTATTTTCATAAAATAGGTTTTCAAAAACAAAGAGAAATTAAAGAAAAGAATTAAAAACAATTCGCAACACTAGACTTTCCACACTTTCACTTCATTCGATTATGATTCGACGTGAAAGGTACTCATCACTGGGTTTGATTTTGGGGAGACACAAATGGGTGTCTACAATGTTAATTGTAAGTTTATTTTTGTTGATTTTGATACTCTGTTTTGCATATGTAGCTTAATTACTTTGGTGAAAAGGGTCAATTTTTTGAAAAAAGGTCACTTTTGTAAAAAGAAGGGTCACTTTTGTGAAAAAAGGTTCAGTTTTGTGAAAAAAAAATTCACTTTTGTAAGAAAAAAGGGTCACTTTCGTGAAAAAAGGCCACTTTTGTAAGAAAAAGGGCCACTTTTCGCAAAATGTTCGATGTACAATAAAATTACTGTAA